CTTAATGGCAGTTATACAAGATAGGGAAGAGATGGAGCATGATTAATGCAGAAACTCTAGTTCCATGGTAAACAGAATACAGTATTTCAGCTTTCTCAGTGCGTGCAGTCGAGGTGAGAAAACCAATATAAATCCGCATTTACATAAAATTGAACTAATAAATCCTAAGTTATTGTGGTACATCATTCCTCCTCATCGTTGAGCAAAGCAAATGAGAATGGATAGAACTTGTATCCATCTCCCTCGTAAAATTTATTTTGGAACTCAACCCAATGAAATCTTGATGCATGTAGCCTACAGATAACCATTCTTTTCGAGGACAGCTATTATCATTTTCCATCAGTCTTCTTGGAAAGTCATGTCCATGTGATTGACAAGGACCTTTATCTAAGTATGCCATCCTAACATCTCTAATATTAAGATCGTATGACTCGATAGGGGGTGTTTCCCTGAATCAGATACAAGATCATTCACATTGAATTGAGCCCAAGTCTTGTTTGTGTTATTTAACAACTAATGCACCACTAGAACTAGAAGAACCAGGTATGAACTTTCATTTCACTTTGAAAAATCGCTCCATAATATGCAAAATATCCCTATTTATTTTTTTTAATTAAAATTGATTAAAAAACAGAATACACGTGGTTGAATTGAGCCCAGCATCTTCTCTATTAATTTTTTCACTTATCCCTAATTTCCTAAACCTAAATTCTCAAATCACAAATCAAAACTTATAAATGATAAATTATAATAAGTCATAACTCATACAATATAAATTATTTATTGTTAAGCCCCTCACCAAACCACTTCTGAATGTCAGTTCCGATCCTCTATGGTGCGCCACGTGTCCCTACGAAGTGGTTCCGAAGCGACATCAACCTCAACTGAACTCCAACTTTACGCACCGCAAGGCACACTCTTTACAAACTAAATCTATTGAAGCAACCAAAGCGTCCCCCTGGAATCGAAGCATCTGGCTCTCCGAGGTTCTTCCTTAACAAATAACTCCGTCGCCAGTTTCAGAAGCATATCTATGTCTAGATCCTCTATGGATGTGACATCTCCATAGGTCTAGTTGATGTGACATCAACTTTATATCAACTCAGGAGAATTAATAACCCGCCCACTCTAGACGGGCTGATTGACGCCTACGAGCAAACGTCTCACGTCGTCAGATGCATACACATGTCCTACATCTAACGGTGCCCCTCGTCCATAAATAATCAAGATTTGGCAAGAGCCAAAAGTAATGAAACTCATATTAAACTTAGCTCTCCACATCCAATCATTATATATTCTCCTCCCCACTCTCTTGAACAATTTCGGCACCATTCCGATTATCGACCACTGACTTTATCGTTAGAGTGTACGCGGTAGCCACCACCCCCGTTGGTTCCAACCGTGTGCTCCTGATTGTGTGTTGTGGTGCATAGAGAGGAACACTTAGAGTGGCTATCGGTTGGCCACATCTAGGTCTAATTCGCGAGGTCAACAGATTGACGTCGTCTGTAAAAAAATTCCAACCAAAGAATTTCTCATTTACCATTCGGAAAACTATCGACTTATCTTGAAAAATGGACGTTCTTGAAAAAGAACCAAGTCAACTTACACACTAAGTTCATAACACCCTTGAAAATGGAGTGAAAAAAATGAGTTATAGCAACGAGAATGCAAATCTTGTAGGGCGTAGGGACACCTCTGAAGAAGAGGTGCTCCAAACCAATGTCACGCATCGGAGACTCCATCACCGACGTCACTGAGGCAACAGGACAGTAGCACTTACTGAAGGGATGACTCAAATAGCTGTAGTCATGAGAGACATTGCAGCCCAGAATCTAAAGATGCGTGAACTCTTCATGCAAGGCCAAGGTCAGTAGGGCTTTCCAATGCCACAATGGCTGTACCCAGCTCAAGGACAAAACTCGGTATCTCATGCCTGGGGTCATTCAAGCCTCCAAAGAGAACACCCTACTAAAAGGGAAGTGGGAGTGGATGTCACTTCCTATACCTGAGGTACTCATGCGATAGAACCATAGTTGGGAAAAAACTCCCCACCAGAATACAAACCTCAGATGTCAGTTAGCATTTTTAACCGAATAGGGCGAAATCCTAGCAATAGGGTCCGCTCCATATAGAGGTCAGCTCAATATGTGCATGAGCAGGAGTAAGAAGAAGAACAAGAGGCACCTCTTCCACCTAGAAATAGGCGGGAGAGGAGAAACCTAGTGGATTGGGATAGGTGGGGAGGGGCACATCCACCTCCCCAAAATGCATCAGAGGGGAAAGGCTCTGAGGGGCCATGTCGCTCTTATGAAATTGATGATGATGATGACAACCTTCCTTTCTTCAGAGAAATCCGAAGCTTCCCAATGCCTGCAAATTTCATGCCCCTAAAATCCCTAAATATTAAGGAAAGGGGGACCCATAGAAACACCTTACTAAGTACATGACGTAGATGAGCTTCAGAGGAGCCTTGCCAGTACTGAAATGCAGGGCCTTTCATCTAACCCTTACCAGAGTTACTGAGGTATGGTACAGCAGGTTACCGCCTTTAAGCATCAGAAGTTGACCAGATTTGAAGAAGGCATTTCTGAAACAATACCTCTCACGAAGGGAAGGAGAGGCCCCAGTACAACGCCTACAAGATATGAGGCAAGCTCCTGGCGGGACGCTGAAAGCTATCTCGCTAGATTCACTGATGAAATCCCATACTGCGAGCAAGTCATGGATTGAGAGGCCCTCTCAACCCTGAAAAGAGGCCTCAACATGAACACATTGTTTTGGAGAGACGTACGAAGCAATAATTCAGGCACTTATGACGAATTGGTTGAGATGATGAGGGTAGAAATAGTCAATGAGGAGATGATCAACCATCGGAATCATGCAGCTTAGAGACTTCCTCCGCCTCAGAGGCAGATGGGTCAAGGACCAGCGACACACTTCGTCATCCAGCAATGGACTCAGGCAGGTCACACAGTAGCCCCCACATCCGGACAGGCATTAGCTTTAGCCACTCTGAATGTAGTGCTAGTGCTGGCATATGAAAATGCTCCTGCCAAAATAGGGCCATCCGGAGGAACAAACAACTGGCGCAAGAAGAAGAAGCAGGCAAACAACCCTTGGAAAGGGTTCGACACCTTTCACCAACTCTATGGCCATGACATCAGCGAATGCAAAGACGTGCCCTAGTCCTCAAATCGAAGCAACCCACGCTCCTCTAGAAGGGATCATCATCATGAACACTTCCACAGGTCCACTTCTCCCAACAGAGTCGAGGCGACAGTAAGATCAATCCCCTCGAAGGAGAGAAACAATAGATAGATCTCGAGGAGAATCCAGGTAAAGAAATTAGGCCCCAGCCACCGGAGGCGATACTATCCAGAAAATTGATACAATCATTGGAGGACCCCACGTCGGAGGCAATACCAGAAATGCACAGAAGAACTATACAAGGAAAGCGAAAGACCCACCATTGATTACGTACGTTGTCGACCAGTCCCGAACAAACAAAATGGCTCCAATCACCTTCTCTCAAGAAGATTCATAGGGTGTTCATCACCCCACTGCGATGCGTTGGTGGTAAGGACCGTTATGACGCGAAACGGATTTAAGCGCATGCTGATTGAAAATGGAAGCTCGGTAAACATACTATTCGGATAAACCTTTGACAAGATGCAAATCGAGCATGGCTTGGTCCCCATGACCAACCCAATATTCGGATTCACTGGGGATAGCATCATCCCATGAGGACGAATCAATTTGCCTGTTGAGATAGGATCAGCACCCCTAGTAGCTCATCACTGCATAGAATTTTTAGTGGTAGATCACAGATCAGCTTACCACGCGGTACTAGGCCGACCTGCACTGAAAGACCTTTAGGCTGTGACCTCCATTCACCACTTATGTATGAAGTTTCCAACTGAGCATGAGATTGCGATGGTCCGAGGCCACCAGATGGGCTCGAGATCATATTACCTCAACTCCCTATGGAAATCTAAGCCCCACACTATGAATATGATAATGATCGATGCAATAAATGAAGTCAACACGGATGTAGAGATGCTTGACGCCCCTGAACAATGATATACCCCCAAACAAGGGAAAGTCGTCAATATGATCGAGGCCCCTGAAGAAGTGCACCCTCTTGATGAATCAAACCCTCGGATCATCGAATCTGACCCGAATGCAACTGCTATGGAAAAACTTGAGACTTTCCCTACCAACTCTCAAGACCCCACTCAGGTCTTGTGAGTAAGGAAAGCTTTGCCCCCTGAGACGAAAGAAGAGCTGATGAACTTCCTAAAAAGGAATTTGGACGTCTTCGCATGGAAGCGTGAAGATATGATGGGAATAGACCCAAGGTCAGCTGCACTACTTGAATTATCAACCCCACTTGCACACCGCATCAACAAAAGAGGGGAGCACTCAACCTAGAAAGATATGAGCCGCTGAAGGAAGAGATCGACAAGCTAAGCCGCAACGGCTTCTTTAGAAAAGCCATTTATCTGAAGTGGGTATCCAACACGGTGCTTGTAAAGAAGTTTAGCTGGAAGTGGAGGGCGTGCGTTGACTTCACCAACTTGAACAAGGCTTGCCCAAAGGACAACTTTCTCCTCCCAAGGATAGACGAAATTGTGGACTCCATCGCTGGACACGAACTCCTGAGCTTCATGGATGCTTATTCAGGGTATAACCAAATACCTATGTTCCGACCTGATGAAGAGGCCACATCTTTTATCACAGACTGAAGATTGTACTGCTACAAGGTGATGCTCGTCGGATTAAAAAATGCCAGCGCCATATACCAAAGGTTGGTCAACATGATGTTCACCGACCTCATTGGCAAAACTATGGAAGTCTATATTGATGACATGCTGGTCAAAAGGCTCCACGCAAGTCACTTGGACACCACTTTTCAAACTCTAAGAAAATATAAGATGAAGTTGAACCCACTGAAGTGCACCTTTGGAGTAGCATCGGATCAATTTTTGGGATACATTATGAACCAAAGAGGGACTGAGGCAAACCTCGAGAAGAAAAAAGCCTTGTTTGAGATGAAGTCTCTCCAAAAGCCAAAAGAGGTGCAAAGCCTTAATGGAAGGATTGCTGCACTCAGTCGCTTCATCTCCAAAGTCACTGATAAGAGCCTACCCTTCTTCAAGATTTTGAAGCAGGGGAGGAAGTTCCAATGGACCGAAAAATGCGAGGCAGCTTTCCAAGCACTGAAGAAGCACTTGGAAGAGGCGCCCCTACTGTCTAAATCTAAATCGCGCGAGACACTCCTGCTTTATTTGGCAGTTTCGGACGAGGCAATTAGTGTGGTGCTCGCCAAGGAAGAAGAGGCACACCAGCTACCAGTATACTACATCAGCAAAGCCTTGCTGCCGGCAGAGACGCTCTACCCAGACATGGAAATGCTTGCTCTCTTCCATGTTACCGCGTCAAGAAAGTTGAGGCCATATTTTCAGGCTCATTCAATTAAAGTACTCACCAACTTTCCACTAAAACAAGTACAATAGAAAATAGACGCTTCGGGTTGATTGATAAAAAGGGCAATTGAGCCCAGTGAGTTCGATCTACTGTTTAAACCATGAAGTGCCATCAAGGGCTAGGCCTTCGCTGATTTTATTGCTAAGTTTGCCAAAGCCCTAGAAATGGAGGCAACAATGGACCCAGCAGAGCCCCCAACATGGAAGCTATTTGTGGATGGATCGTTAGGAAAAAGCGGCTCCAGAGCCAAAGTTGTTCTAGAGAGCCCAGAGGGCCATATGCTAAACTGTGCAATCAAATTCGGCTTCAAAGCCTCGAATAATGCCGCAGAGTCTAAAGCCCTCTTGGTAGGCCTTAAGCTGGCCAAAGAAATGAAAGTTGAAAGATTACAAGCCAGTAGCAACTCACAACTTGTGGTGAGTCACGTAAATGGAAAATTCACGACCAAAAGCAATGGCATAGTCCCTTACCTGAAGCTAGTTTTGAACCTAGTCCCCTACTTCAAGAGGTTCGAACTAGTCCAAGTCCCACACCTCGAAAATACACACGCGGATGCCCTGTCCAAACTTGCCAGTAGTAAGGATTCTGAGTTGCTAAAAATCGTTCCAATCGAGAATCTGCCAAAGCCCTCCATCTTCGGAGGCAAAGAAGTAATGTGGATTGAAGGTAACCCACCTTGGATGCAACCCATTATAGCCTATCTTAAAGATCAATCGCTACCACCCTCAAAGAACGAAGCAAAGAAGTTGAGAAGAAGAGCTGCCCATTTCATACTTCAAAATGGTGTGTTATATAAAAGAGGCTTCTCATCACCCCTACTCCGGTGCATTGGAGGAGAGGAGACCTTGTACGTTCTGAAAGAAATTCATGAGGAAGTCTGTGGTAACCACTCCGGTAGAGTAGCCCTAGCACACAAGGTATTTCGACAAGGTTATTTCTGGCCGACCTGAAAAAGGATTCCTGTCAATTTGTTCAAAAATGTGACAAATGTCAGTGGTTCGCCAATGTTCAGCGACAGCCTTCTCAGGAACTCTCCATAGTCAACAGCCTATGGCCCTTCGCCAAATGGGTATAGACTTCATTGGCCCCCTCCCAAAAGGAAGAGGAAGTACAACATTTGTCATTGTTGCCATTGATTACTTCTCTATGTGGTTTGAAGCTGAACCCCTAGCAAAAATCACTGAGGTGAACACCACAAAGTTCGTCTGGAAAGACATCATTTGCAGGTTTAGCATTCTCCACTCCTTAGTAGCTGACAACGCAAGGCAGCTCGATAACAAAAAGTTGCGAAACTTGCATGACGAACTCAGCAAAAGGAAAAACTTCTCAATACCTCATCATCCCCAAGCAAATGGATAAGTCGAGGCAGTTAACAAAACGATCAAGCACACTTTGAAAAGGAAGCTTGACGTCTCGAAAGGAGCATGGGTCGATGAACTTTCCCATGTCCTCTAGGCCATACACAGCAAACTGAACCGTAACAAGGGAAACGCCTTTCTCCATGACTTATGGAGCCGAGGCCATGAGTCCAGTAGAAGTAGGAGTCCCTTCGCATCGTCGTATAAACTTCAATGAGATCAACAATGACGAAGCAAGAGTGTGTGAACTCCATCTCTTGGAAGAAAGAAGAGATTCACAAGTCAGACTAGCTGCGTATCAAAGAAAGATGACCTGCTATTATAACTAAGGGTCAGAAGCCGAACTCTACGCTTAGGCGATCTGGTACTCATAAGGGATTCCCATCATCAAAACCAACAGGCTCTGGAGTGTTTGGACCGAACTGGGAAGGCTCGTACCGCATCACCAGAGAGTCCCGACCTGGGACTTACGAAACTGAAGATATGGTAGGAAAAGTGTTGCCTTATCAGTGAAATATTGAACATTTAAGGAAGTACTACCAATAAATAAATGTATGTTCCGGTCCAACCTAATAATCCACAAGTTGTAACTTATTCCTATCTGACTAAGCACTTGGATTGCCTTAGTGTATGATTGTTGAATTCAAATTATTTGAATATTCAGTTCGTCGATATATTCTATGGATTGTCATTGTTCACCTCAACCGCTTATTGATGGTTAGTAATATTGACTTAAGCAGTGATCAAATTATAATAGAACAAACAGTTCAGCATAGATAAAAGAAACTTCAACACTTGGAAAATAAATTTCAATTTACTAATATCAAAAAGATCACAAGAGTTAGGCCGAAGCCATTACAATGTGGGCCCTAATCTATTAGCACTATAGCCTTATCCCCCACTTTTCCCATCTCCTGGGAATCCTCGGCAGCTTTCGCGACAGATGCAATGTCTAGACGACCTCCAGTAGGTCCATCGAACTCCACCTCAAGAACAGAAATGTCTAGTGTCGAATGGACCTCCTTCAGCCGTTCCAGCATCGCTTGGGCATTCCAGGAGCCCCAATAGTTGGCAAAGGTATCATATAATGGATGCTCTTCTAAGTGGTCAATGAAGTGTTGCACAGCTGACTCACCAACCACCATCGCCTCAGCCTTCAATGACTCGATCTTCTCTACTTAGGCCTCCACCCTCTGCCTTAGCTCGTCCCTCTCTTTGTTCGAGGCCTCCAGAGCCTCCGTAGCCAAATGATGGTGCTCACTGGCGTGATCAAGTCACCTCATCAAAGCAGCCACCTGGCTCTCCATCTCATGGAACTCCTTCCTCAGCCTCTCGACGTCAAAGTTAGCCCTTCCCAGTCGGCTCTGCACTTCTGCCCTCTTCCTCTCCACCTCAGCTATCTTGGCCTCTGTCTTCCACACTGCTTTCCCATACAGCAAGTTCACCTCTAACCGCTTAGCTAGATCAACATTTTTAGCCCTAAGGTCCTTCACCAAGGCCTCAAGTTGAACATTGGTGCTCAGGGCTCGGGCGAGGCACGTAGTTGTTGACAGAGACTAGGTCCTACGCAGTGCACGAAGCAGTATGGTCCCTCTAAACTTCTGTCCAATATTTATTGTGGGCCACTGCCACAGCTGCTGTTTTAGGAGGAAGAGCCTCCAACACGTTCCCCACCAACTCCTCCTCATTATAGCCCAAGAAATCCACCTCCTTTTCTAGGCGAGCTCTCTTCCTCTTCTGCTGATCGGGCTACTGAACCAAAGGTGCTGCGTGGTAGCCAGACGAACCTCAAGCGGAGGAGCAACCCTTTCTCTGATTATAACCCTGGTTGGGATCGTCGCCTGGCCTTGGATTGTTTTCCCTTCTTCAACAGGGGGGCTCGGCCTTTTCCTATTCGGCCATGGCGGGCTGAAGCTTTTTGTTCACTGCGACCAGATCCTCAATCTGATTCTTATAGGCAGAAGAAGATGTCTTCAGTGCCTAAGCTTCGGCCATCATCTTCTGGATGGTCTTAAGGTCAGGCTTGAGAGGCCTCTTCTTATTGAAGTCATCTGCAACAAAATAAAAAATTAGTCAAATATGAACACTTCGACCATAGACTATAATGATATAACCTATGCACTCACCCTGGGAGGCCATCATTTTGTGCTCCACAAAATAGATATTCTTCCTCATCAGCTCGTTATAGGATCTCCTCTTCGGAGGAAGCTAATATACGATGCAGATAGTGTCGAAGTCTTCCATAGACAACTCGGACCAAGGAAGTGTACCTGCATGAAACAGACAAGTTAAATTATGAACTGAAAGGGATATATATGCATGTAAATCCAAAGTTTTAATACTCATTAAGAGTTGAGTTTTTTGTTGGTGCGGTTAGGGGCATGAGGGGGTCTCCCTCCATCGTATCCCACCTTCCTGAAGCCCAGCACCACGAACTCTTCTAGTCTTTTATGGAGCTCAACAAGTCGAGAACGAATGGAGTATGGCCCTCCAGGAGGTCAAGTAATACTGCCCCTTCGTTTTATCCCACCTCCCCCACTGCAACCTTAGGTATTTACACGGTTTGGAAGACGAAGAAAGGCATCTACACCCCGTAAGACGCCTCCTTCCACAACATCCACGAACCCACCATTTGGTTCTAAGAGTTCGGTTTTAACTAAGTAGGGACCAGGCCATAGGACCTCAACACATACCTAAAGAAGGGATGGACTGGTAGCCTGAGCCCCACACTAAGGATGATCTCGCTAATTGCCACACACCCCGATCTGGGGTAGCAGACTCACTCATCTGGCCTCGGTAATATTAGACCCACATTATTCGGAATCCTATACTCAGTCCTAAGTCTGGCCAGGTCGGTCGATTTTAATTTTGAAGGATAGTCAGACACCCCTAATGCTCTGAAGTGTCTACAGGACTATCTGGTCATTTCTAGATATTCTCCCCCTATAATCGCCTCAAAAATCTCAACCGAAGTGGCCAAAACGGGCTCATCTACCCTAACAACCTCTGGGTACCCCCCAAAACACCTACTTCCCTCAGAGGCCATTTCCTATGATTAAAGATAGAGAAAACTTGGGAAATACTTACAAAACTTTGCTGGAAATTGACGTTCAGCCGAAAAATGCAAAGGAATTCTATGAAGGCTTGCTGTGAAATGTAGAGAACGACAAATGTTTGTCGAAAAATGCAAAAGTAGCAAAGAAATCACCGAAAATCGTCAATGACAAAGGGTAAGAGATTCTGATTTTTGCAAAGGTGAAGAAACCTTTGAATGGTAACCAGGCCCCCTTTTATAGGAGGCCTCAGACGATCCCCACCATTGAATTCAAATGATGTCGATCTAGGCCGTTCGTCGCATCATAAATCTGGACCGTTGAAATGAAACGTCAGATTTGATCAATGCCCAAGATCTGCCTGTGTCCCTCATGCACACATAAAATGCATCACCTCGAACAACAATAGACGTCAACAAAAAGTAGTCGCAGCAGCCCTTTTTCTAGGAATAGGCATCACATCCAGGTCAAGCTATCCTAATTCGCCTCGGATGTAGTATTTCTAAACTTTACAAAGCCTAGGCTATCTCCCAAAGTGTCGTCCCCTGTGGGTCAATGCACCGATTGCAGATACGCTTTTTTCTCAGCTTTACAAAGCTTCAACGCAGATGCAAAGTTCCCTATAGGTCTATGCCTCGATGCAGCGTTTCTAAGCTTTACAAAGCCTGGGCTATCTCCCAATGCGTCATCCTCTGTGGGTCAACGCACCGGTTGCAGACACGCTTCTTCTTCTTCAACTTTACAGAGTTTCAATGCACTTGATGCGAAGTCCCCTATGCGTCTTTACCTCGGATGCAGCGTTTTTAAGTTTTACGAAGCCTAGGCTATCTCCCAACGCGTCGGTCCCTATGGGTTAACACACCGGTAGCAGATACGCTTCTTCCTCAGCTTTATAGAGTTTCAACACACCTGATACCACGTCCATATGGGTCTTCCCCTCGGATGCAGAGTTTTTAAGCTTACAAAACCCAGGCAGATACATTTCTTCCTCAGCTTTACAGAGCTTCAGATACTACAAATCTAGTCGCTTCGCGCTTTGAAATTAACAATTTACTAGATACTACAAATCTCCTCTAAGATAACATAATCAGGTAAACAAGTTCACCCACGATATAATTATTCATGCCTGAACCTAGAAGGACCACTGTTACGCCCCTCACCAAACCACTTCGAAACATCAGTTTCGATCCTCTATAGTGTGCCATGTGTCCTTACGAAGTGGTTCCAAAGCGACATCAAACTCGAGGGAACTCCAACTTTACGCACCGCAACGCACACTCTTCACAAACTAAATCCACTGAAGCAACCGAAGTGTCTCCTTGGAACCGAGGCATCTGGCTCTCCAAGGTGCTCCCTTAATAGATACCTCTGTCGCCAGTTTTAGAAGCACATCTATGTTTGGATCCTCTATGGATGTGACATCTCCATGAGTCTAATTGATGTGACATCAACTTTATGTTAACTCAGAAAAATTAATAACTACTCTAGAAGCAGCTGATTGACGCCTACGAGCAAACGTCTCACCCTATCAGATACATA